TTCTTTTAAATTTGATTCGTATTAGATTTAATATAAACATAATTCCTAGGGCCAGGGCTGAGACACTTGTCTAGAATACATGAAGCTCTGGTTACAATCTCTGTCACCATAACATGAATTAATTTCCTAAATCAGAACTTAGTATTTATGAACATGTAAGCACTCAATGAGAATGAACTAGACTCTTTAAACTTTGGACCACTCCCAAAATATTCAGCCCATGAGGTTAGCACTTTCAACAGCTCTTTAGACCTGAGAAAATTTCTGCAACATATTCTATAAGACCTTCCATAACCTAAGATAATTGCGACTAATTTTATTTTTCAGTTAAATGTAATCTATGCCTTCACTAAAGGAACTACTGTTAAAGAGAAAGTTCTGTGTAAAATAACGTATGCAACAGAAATACATCAGAACTCTACATTATAATCTTGGTGATACCCGTTGCTAAGAAAATTTGAGCAAATCAGTTCAGATTCTTGGATTTTTACCACTTCTCTAAGATACCCTTCCAAACTCTAGATTACAATAGTTCCATCCAACAAATAATGGTCAGGCCAAAGGCCTGATTAGGATTCTAGGATTCTTCTTATGAATTATGTTTACTCTGTACTCCAGAACTTTTGAAATGTTAATTGCTATATCAACCAGCAAGCTACTAGAGGAACTAACTCTTAATCATGCTTATCATTCTTTTTCAGACCAAAGTCTGCAGTATAACAAAGTGCCCAGATTTTGATGACTCTGGCCAGTGGGAAGTGGTCACTGTGCATGAAGGGAAGCAAAACTCAGCCATCTTTGATGCTGTCATGGTTTGCACGGGTTTCTTCACTAACCCTAATCTGCCACTTAGTTCCTTTCCAGGTACAGAATTTTCTAAAAATGAATTTCAATTTTCTTACAGGATTCATCCTGATGCCGAACTGGCCTGGGGATGCACTCAAATCACATGTTAATTCAATGGCTAAATTAGGTGGGTAATAGTTGTATTTTATAGGCAGAATACTCTCCACACAATTAAAACAAACAGAAGAGAATGACGGATAGCTCACTAAACAAACTTAGCTTCACTGAGGTTCCATGTGCCTCCATAATGAAAAATAGCACTCAGAACCTCTTCTGAAATATGAGACACTTAGATGAGGTGCACATTGCCAAAGTTGACCTAGAGACCACAAAGGTAAATCTGTGTGTAAAGAAGGAGGAGTCTGAATTTTTACGTGTTTGTTCTGTATGAGCCGTAACAATTAACTAGATCAGAGCTGTATGGCACTGCCTCATAGCCAACAGGGCAATGAATCTTGGAGGATGAGTTAATAAATGTTTACATCTCAGTTTCTTTATCTGACTTTTGCAAACATGACTATGGTTAATGATTGTCAAATTGCAACTGGATTTCTACTCAAGTGAATAGAATTGCACTGGTTACTCTGTTTCACCTGCAGTAAATATTAAGAGTTTGAAAAAACTTTTTCTCCAAATCATCTACATATATATTTGAGTGATCCTAAAATTTAAGAGGCAATGTTCCACTAATTTTCCTGGAACAGCCTCAGGGATCACTTAAATCAGCTCACAATAGGACAAAATATATCCTAAGGATTCTCATAGAATAGAATCATGGAGAGGAAAAGATCCAAGTTTAATCTTTCCCCTAATGCAGAAAGTTTTTCGCTAACATCCCTGACTCAAAAGTCTCTGCTTGCACAAAAAGACTCTCAACACACAAAACGACAGAACCTTCTGTGAGTTCCTGCCTGCAGAGCAAAGCCCTGAGCATCCAACCTCTCCATTCTCTCAGGAAGAAGCACCTGATGAAGGGCAACCAAAAATCTACGAGGTTCAGTGGAATAGTGAAATTTCATTTATTCAGTACCTACAATTTAGGGCATGAGTTGAGAAGAATACAGAAGACAATACGACAGCAGGCAGTCTGTACTTAAGGGAGTCTAGAGAAGAATCAGTCTGCGTATGACATGCAGGGATCCCAACACTCACGTTCACTAAACTCATACTTACTATGGTCCTGGATCTGCCCCTCGTCATGTCAGATTAGGATAAAGCATACCCTGAAAGCAACTAAACCAGTGTACTCCCTTTGTGTGGAAAGACATTGGGATTCAGAAGGTATACAACGAGAAGTTAGTGCTCTTCAGCCTCTTTCTACACCTTTCTAAGCCTCTTTATCCACCATAAATGGATGAGTTTGCATGACTTTCCCCAGTGCTGTGCATCAGAAATCAAGCAAGGGAGGCTCTTCTAGATTTGCCGTCCTCTTTCTTTCCTTTTTGTCGGGCACTACCAATCTGAAATCCCTGGCTAAATGATGGCCAAGGACCATTTGAGCACTAAGTTTCTGTGATTCTAGATTTGAAATGGAATCCTCCCAATTCCACCTGCCATCCAGCAGACTTGCTTAGACTGTGCATACACCGTGGGGCATTTGTTGACTATGACACAAGTTCAGAGTCACTGAACATATAAATAAAAGGCTTTGAAAGCAAATCCAAAATGAGCCCAAAAGTCTCAGGAAAAAAATAGATATCACAGGTAAACTAGATGCATAATTTCTGAAAATTATTAATTTTGTTCATTGCATGTGCTTATCAACAAAATTACATTCACCTAATATGAGCTCTTACTCTGCCCTCCTACGAGTCCATAGGAAATTCAGCCACACAGTCTCATTGTTGCTCATCTGTGACTCAAAGCAATCTAACACTGACAGAATCTATGGTAAATCTAAAAGTCTAGAGAAAATTCTACAATTCTCCTTCGGCTGTTGCAGCTATACTTTCTCAGCAGTTCTTTCATTCATATAGGATCTCTGAACTGAGTTAATATTTGAATGTGATGGCATCCTTGCCAAATGCTAAGTGCTCTGGATCACGGATGGATTTTAACCAGGATTCATGCTATGGTTCCAATGATTCAAAGTGAGCCACAGAGCAGCCAGCAATTCCAAAGGAAGGCTACTTCCCACGAGCATATGTATTTATCCTCTGAGAATCTAGGTTTCTTATCTCTGTTTCTTTATCTTAGAAAAACTACATTCTTTGTTCAGTGCATCTTCCTTTTTATTGAGTCACACGATTTTGAAAGTGTTTTCCAAAGCTCTCCATTTGCAGTGAATGCCTCAATGAGATCTGGCACAAGCTGCATGAGACATCTATAGTAGTTAGCCCGGTAGACATAACCCTGGAGTTACAGACAGGCCCTTCATTCTCTGTGCCAACTCTGGCTCACTCAGCACACTCAGCCTGAGTTACAGTCAGTACCAAGGTGAAATACCGGTGAACTTCGGCAACTCATATGGATCTCTGTAAACACCTATTATATTTCCCTCATATCATCCAACACAGTGCCAGGTACACAGCAGATATTCCCAAAAGTCTGCTGAATGGAGGCACTGATTCTATTTCCCTTTAATGTCACTGCTCTTGCTACTAGTTTATGAAAACTAGTACAGTACACATAAATCAAGTATTAGTAAGTAGAATATTATCACCCCTTTGGCTTCATCAACCTTTAAATGGCAATGACTCCTTACACTTTTGCTGAACGTTACTTTTACCCTGATAGTTTGACTTAGTTGATCATCATGTAAGACATCTAGAGGCCTATTTAGTGAGATGGAGTTATTACCCATCTTTACCCATAGCTACATTGTGTAAAACACTGTGTTCCTGTGTTAGATTTCCTCAAACTCAAGTATACTGGTAAAAATACCCTAAAACATGTGTCAAAGGGATATTATCAAAGGAAAAATATAAGGTGACTGTATAAATTCCCTATTTGTCTCTGTTTTTTTCTATAGGTATAAATACCTTTAAAGGCCAGTACTTTCACAGCCGAGAGTATAAACATCCAGACATATTTAAGGACAAGAGAGTGCTTGTGGTTGGACTGGGAAATTCTGGCACAGATATCGCTGTGGAGGCCAGCCGCCTGGCAAAAAAGGTACCACTCTTGATAATGCTCAATGAAGAGCTTTATCTTAACGTTCATACCACGAGTACGTGCTGTCTGACACCATGGTAAAAGTTAAAGAGCAAAAATGTCAACACCCAAAACTTTTTTACTGGTGTCACTGTGTATTCAATCTAGGGCCTTCATACTCAACTACATACCCAGAATTTTATCTTTTAAACTTTAACATAGAGCCTTACTAAATTTCTTAGTTGCCTATCCTGGGTTCAAATTTGTGTTCCTCCTACCTCTGACAGCCAGAGTGTTGCACCACTCTACTCAGCTACAATGTATTTAAATGTACCTTTATTGAGTGTTCATAAATTTTACAGTGAATGCCACTGGTCGTCTTTCCTTTAAAACCAACCTCTCTCCTCTTGTATTTTTGTCATTTTCCTGGCTATTCAACAAGAGCTACAAGACATCTCTTCCTTAGGCCCATAGGTCAAAAGATCCTGGTCATTTCTCCTTGTTACAGTTGCCATTTGCCCAATATTTCCTTATTTATTGCCAGGTCTCACACTGAGACTTTTGCATTATCTTCCAAAGAATAATTATAGAAACCACACATATTTTTTGAGATTGCTCTTTGCCACACATTGCACTAAATGTTTTTCACTGTATTATTTCATCTAGTCATCAAAACAAGCCACTGAAGTAGGTGCTATCACAGATGCAGAAACTACGGTTGAGAGAGGTCAGGTCACCTGCCTAATGTCACTACAGCTGGTCCTGAAACCCTAGTGTGTTTCCCTCAAAGCCCAGGCTCTTAATTCTTCCCTTTATCCTGGCACCTCTCCCCACATTCCATCCGTGCATTGTCAATCACTCATGCAGAACATACTGACCAACAAACAAATCCTCTGCATAGTCATATTGAAATGCTAATAACTCCTTCACCCACAAGTGGCATTCATAGCAGATGGACCTGTGTTAACTTTGGTTCAGGAGCTCTATTCTCTTACTTACTTCAGGATAATGCTGCCACCTTGCTAAGTTTCTTGTAATCAATCAATGAATCAATCATTAAGTGTTGTTGTCCCCCCCACCAAAGGGTAACACAGCACTACGATTGCTACATTTGGGTACATAATATTTTTGTTGTTGTTTCTCTATTCATTTGGAAATTTCTTCAATCCGAAAACATGCTTTGTAACCAGTAATAATGGCTAACTCAAGTGGCTAAAGCAGGAAGATCACAAGTTTAAGGCCAGCTTGGGCAGTTTACTGAGACACTTTTGAGAAATAAACTATAAAATGAAAAGGGAATGGACTATATAGGTCAGTGTGAGTCGATGGGCTAAATCACCACTACTGGAAAAAGACAAGGAGGAGGAGGAAGAAAACATGTTGCTCTGTCAAACATATTATTTCTTTATCAGCAAACAAAGTGTCCTTGACTTCCAACATAATTCATATCGAAAAGAAAATCCTATCTGCTGCTACACTGAGACACAGAGGCCAGATCAACACACATAGCTCAGGTCAGAAACTCTGAGGAGCCTGAAGCTCTTGTGGCATTCCAGAGTGGTGTAAATCATTTTGTGATGTCATACGGTTAAACAAAAACACTAACACTGTAGCTGTGGACTTCCATGGTCTGGTGGAGGAAAAAAAATCAATATATTAGCTGTACTGTGTAGTATCAGCAAGGTGGCTATTGGTTAATTATTTTTTTTGGTTTTCAAACAGTTATATAGGAAATTCTTTATTGTATTGATACCAAAACTACTACTGTGTTTTGGGAACCCACTCAGCTACTAATCTCAAGGAGCCATCCGTTTAAATTAAAAAAAGGAAAGAAAAAGCAAGCACCCCATCTAACCGTATTACTGAATGTTAATGCCAACTAAACCAGTGGTTTGTGCTGAAATAACATTTGTAGAAAACTCCAAATTTCTGCTCCATCCTGTTCTTACTGCCTAATATTACAATAGAGAGTTTCTATTCAACTGTTCATTATCTTTTCCCTTGAGACTTTAGGCATCAGAGGGCTTGCCACAGTAACTCCAGGCTGCCAAATAAATGCTCATTAATATGTCCTAAGACATTTTAATACTTCATATATGCACACCACACTGTTATTCCAAAACAATAACTTTTATATAGTAGTTAAAAGAAGATAGACTATCTTATCAAGGGTGTGTTTGAGGGTGCCTTTCAATTCCTGCTCTCAAATCTCTTTCATGACTTCCAGGTGCTTCTCAGCACCAGAGGAGGTGCATGGGTTTTCAGGCGAGTCTTTGACTCAGGGTACCCATGGGACATGGTGCTTATAACACGATTTCAAACTGCATTCAGAAATTTTCTCCCAACTCCAATTTTGACTTGGTTGATGGAAAAGAAGATGAACAGCTGGTTCAATCATGCAAATTATGGCTTAATACCAGAAGACAAGTAAGTATAATGTATATACCAAAAACTGTTAGAGAGATGGAAGCGAAAGCTTTCCACGGCAATACAGACCACGCAATATTATGGCAATATGGTTGGGGGATTAAATTTTTCCATACAAATTTGCTGGTGATAGTAATAGCTGCTCTTAAGTGCTTCAGCAATGAATTTACATATTTAACTCTTTAGGGTAAGTATTATTAGGTACAATCCCCCTTTCCTTATGGGATAACTGAGATCTAGCCAAATTTAGTCACGTTCCTGAGCTCATGTAG